CTAAGTGCCGCTCTTCGACACTGTGTGTGTTACTTGCAGTTTCTAAAACAAGTGCAATTGTGTAAGAGATTCCTAATATGTGAAGATAGATAAATAGGTTTCCTGTAATGTCTGAATGCAATTTGTTCTAATATTACATTCTACTACATTCATGTGGAGGTTCTTATTTTTTTCTCCCTGTAAGGGTTTAAAAAAAAAAAAATGTTTGTCAACTTTAGTATCTATTTTATCTAGTAGCATGCTTCCATATTGCCACCTTTGTCAGGTTCTCAAAGCTAGGGGTTATAATTATATACTCCTCTAGTTGTTCAGCATGATATATTTCTCAAATCCTGCTCCTTTGGATTAGTATAGAGCAGTGTTTCTCAACCTTAGCAACTTTAAGATGTGTGGACTTCTTTAAGATGGCTGGCAGGGGAATTCTGGGAGTTGAAGTCCACACATCTTAAAGTTGATACGGTTGAGAAACACTGGTATAGAGCTTTGCCCGGGATATTAAAATGGGGACTTTCTCTGAAGATCAAATTAAGATATTTGCAAGACAACCAAATTGTGAGTGCTAAAATTGCTGCCCTGCAGATGGATGTTTTACAACTCCCAGCATTTCTGCAACTTGACAGCTCTACCACCACAACTTATTTTTGCAGATGGTAGAAATAAACTTCCCTTGCATCTCCTTTTTTTTTCCCCCCTCTCCCCCAAACATCTTATCCTCTCTTTGCCCTGACATGTCTCTTGTGCATTTCTGTCTTCTACACTTCAGCAAACATTTTGGCGTTTTAATTAGAGCTTTTCTGCTCCCCTGGCAGATGTCTCAGCACTGGGGACCCGCTTTGATTTTATCCTACCCTTTCTTGAGATTCTGCTGTGAAACTTCAGAAAATGCTGTTCAGAAAAAGGGTCAGGTTTTTTTGGCTTCTTTTCATGCATTGAATACCTCAACTGCTTTATCTCTGCTTCCAATTTTTGCCGACTTCTGTCCTTTCAGGTTTCCAATATCTTTTTTGGGCTGACCAACTGTCATGCTCATTTCTTCTTTCTTTTTTAGGAAGAATTCTTCTTCTTGCAATACTGAAGGGACTCAGCAGCAAATATTACTGATGCTAATGCCTCCGTTTAGAAACAAGAACCTCATATCTTAGTAAATAAACAATTATTGTTTGTTCAGGCATTCAATTTGCTATGCCATTGCTTCCCTACCTTTCAGGATTAATTTATTGTGTCTTTCTCCCACCCACAAAATATAAATAGCACTATCTAGAATCCAGAGTTTCACATAGTGAGTTCCATGATCACAGAAGTCCTTTAAATAGGCTATGAGGGTCTAATGTGTGTCGGAAAAAAAATCGATCGGCGTTCCTAAAGTATTAGGAATTAAACAATCCACTCCAAGATTTTCAACCAACTTGCTCGGTCGGACATCCTCCTCACTAATCCTAATGTTGAAAGGCCGCAGATGTGAACGGCTGATTGCTGCAAGTCAGTACCAGCTGATTCGTTCAAAGGCACGTACCGTTTTGGCCGTCCTTTGTGGATGAAAAGTCCGCAACTCCGCTTGTCCCAATCAGTTGCAGGAATTGGTGATGCAACAGAATGTTCCAGTTGCTGGGGCCAGAAGGCCATGATTTCAGCTCCCCTGCAGCTCTGTCCAAATGTTTTTGGCCTGCTTCTGAAGGGAAAGCCACCGTGTTCTAGTAGAGATCCATTTTGTTTTGCCTTGATAGCTACTTTGATTTGGGCAAAGAGGCTATGTAGCCACTGGTAATTACAACCCTTAGAAGTCTGCTGTACCTTATTTAAGGATCCCTCTCCAAGAGAAATTATTGATTAGCTAATCTTTCACATACCACCTATGAGGACTTCCAGAGTAGCATTCTGCAGGCAGCTACTTCTGCTTGTATATCTATTTCTGCCTGCATTTATCCATGCAGTCATGTTTGCAACGGTTGTTTGGGCTCCCCAACTTGGTTTGATGGACACCTCTGTGCCTTTGGACCTCCTCCTAAGACCCAGTTTGCTTCATGCTCTGTTTCACCCTTTCTACTTTTTTCTGCCACACCACCAGAGCTGCCTTGATGTCAATGGGCAAATCTCCCCAAACCATGAATCCAAATTACAGATGTGGCTGCCTCTTGCAATGCCAGGCGTGCCCCCCTATCCAAAGAGCTTGGAGACCCTTGCTTTATTCTAATAACCTAAAAAAGCAGAATACAAATATATGAAACAGATATGCCTCCTCCTTATTGTATTCATGTTTCTTTTCACTTGGATGCAAGCTGACTTTCTTGTTTGCTATATTTACTGCATGTTGGTTTAGGATTCTGGCTTCTGCGATCCAGTTTGCTGTGGTTTCTTGGTTCAGGTGTAGTGAGAAGAGATGAACCTTCACGCACACAGGAAATGTTTAATCACAGCTATGTGCAATAAAGACGGAAGGGACTATCTGAGGATGGGATGTGCTGGCTAGCAAATGTTGGCAAAAGCACCCATTAAATGCTTCTAAAGCAGGGGTGGAGAGCCAGTTTGGTGTAGTGGTTAAAGGCACCAGGCTAGAAACCAGGAGACCCTGAGTTGTAGTTCCACCTTAGGCACAAAGGCAGCTGGATGACCTTGAGCTACTCCCTCTCTCTCAACCCTAGGAAGGAGGCAATGGCAAGCCGCTTCTGAAATCTTGCCAAAGAAACTGCAGAGATTTGTCCAGGCAGTCACCAGGAGTCAGTGCTGTCTCGAAGGCACCAGAAAATAAAATAAATAAATCAGGGCTTATATTTACACAACTTACCTAATCTGATTACTGAATTCATGCCTGTTCTAGGTTCACAGGTTTGTTGAACCATCAAGAGAGCAAACAAGGTGGCTTGGAACAGCCTGAAAACAAATCTGAAACGAAGGTTATCAGGTGGTGCAAACAGTCCTAGTTGAGCTAGCTGACCCATGAACAGAAGTGCATGTGCATTCATGACATTGACTCTTCTTTGGAAGAGGTATTTTTAAATTTTTCATGAACGTGGCGATCTACTAAAATAAACTCTGAAAAGGCAGCTAAACTTAGAAGCATTCGATACATCCAGCAATTATCCTGTGCTCTTAGAACGTCAAGGAATGCCATCTCTTATTAATCCTTCCAGTTGGAGGTCACGCAGGGCTGAAGGTGTAGTGATGGTGGTATTTCAGCCTAATTGTGAAGTCTTTCCAAGTCACAGTTAAAGAACTAGAAATTGGATGTTGGCTTTGAAGTTCTGATGTCAACAGTGATAGGAATTTTCAGATCCAGCGGAAGTTAGGTTTAGAAATGTATTTCCATTGGTGCTTCAAATGCATATTGAAAAATACAAACTGAGGATGTAACAAATGCAAATAAGATCAGTATTTATATCCTGTACTTAGTTGCAAACCATGGTTGGGTGCCCACTGGTTGTACTCACATAGCCCTCCTAACCAGCTCAGTTGGAAATCGAGCTGCTGCGTTCACACAACGTGCTTACTAATTTTAACCTTGGTTAAGGTTTGGGTTTGGATTTTTGTGTCCAAGCATGTTATGTGAACCCATTTCTTCCTTTAAGTTTGTGATTTAATGTACTGAATGTATCAAGAAAAAGTGTTAATTTAATAATCAGGTTAAGCATGTTGTATGAACCCAAGCAGCATATATAGTGGTCTTAAGATCAGTTGTTTAGCTTCAAAAACTTGGTAGTCAGCCTGCCTTTAGCCAGAAATAATTTGTAAGGGTTTTTGAATCCATAGCAAGACAAATGTTGTTGGACTTGATGTGAAATAGTATTTCTTGGTTTCACTGAACATCAAAGGATCTCTGCCTGCAGATAGAGAGAAAGGATTACAGGTTAATAGAGACTCCATCTTCAATCCTGGGCATTTCTAGATAGGGCTCCAAAAGGCTTCTTGAAATCTTGGCAAGCTTTTGCCAGAAATTTAAATAATATTAAACTAGATGAGTCAGTAATTCAGCTTTATGTGCCTTTTCAGGCAGATATGCTCACTATATATATTGCTTTCTGCAAAAATTGGAAAACTAACAAATATCACCTTTTCTCTTCAACCTTCCCCTACCCCCTTCCAACAAATGTTCAAAAACGTATTACATTTTCACCTGTCCAGGGTTTTATGCTTTTTGCCCATCCAAATGTGAACACCAAAAAAATAATAATAATTTTGCAGTCAGAGTCGAAAAACTTGTCCAGACTTCTCTGAATATGAAATCCTTTAGATGGCCAAGGAATTGCTGCTGAATATATATCCGCTGCTTGTGAAAATTAGGGAGTCATCCAGGTGTCTCATCAAAACAGGCCTGTAAAAAAGAGATGATCTCTTTTTATCAGATCAGGACTTGTCCTGTGAAAGATGGCTCAAAGTTTCTTATGCCTTAAGCTTGCAAGTAAGGAGAAGTGTCCAGTCTGAGACCCATTGTTAGAAGAAGAGGACATAAGAATATAAGCAGTGCCCTGCTGGATCGGACCCCTGGCCCATCTAGTCCAGCGGTCTGTTCTCCCAGTGGCCAACCGAGTGCATAAGGAAGCCCACGAGTTTCCCAGCAGTTGGCCTTCAGAGGCAGTCACCGTGCCATCAAGGCTAGGGGCCATTGATCCCCAGGACTTCTATGAATTGGTCCAACCCTTTTTTGGAGCCAGCCAAGGTAGTACACCTCATAGCAAATTCCGAAGTTGAATTACATAGGTTTTTTTTTTTAATCCTTTTGTGTGTCCTGATTCTTTGAGGATTCAATTTTATTGGGGTAAGCAAAGTAGAATAACAAGAGATTTTTCTGTCACGTGGCACTCAATAACATTCAGCTGATATCTGTAGCAAATCAGTTCTAATTCTCAAAACAGGTATGGGAGGATAATTTCTTTTTACAAAAGGGAGACTGAAACCCATTGTTTGCCAGAAAGCTATTTGTTGATGGATATGGGTGTTGATCTTCTAACAGGACTTTCCTAGTGTACTCTGAATCCCAAACTAACCGTTTGCTGCCTTCCTTTCAGACGGTCAGCAATATCCCATGTGCTCTGTTGACCGGCATCCGGACATTGCCAGTCTTAGAAGCAAAGGTATCTGAAAGGCCTTCAAGCAAATGCAGAGATCCCCCCAGAGAAGAAGAAAAAGAGAAGAAGAAAAAGAAGCACAAGAAAAGATCCAGATCCAGATCCCAGTCTCCTCCTTCCAAGTACCACTCATCCTCCAAGGCCAGGTCTCGATCACATTCGAAAGCCAAGCACTCGCTTCCCACAGCCTACAGAACAGTCCGGCATTCCAGGTGGGCATGTCTAACTCTCAGAAGGCTTGAAAGCTCTTTGACGTCCTGCTGCGTCCTGCTGCGCGGTTCCTTCCTGCTGCCACGTTGTATTT